CCTAGTGGGCTCCCCGGAGGGGCTCCTCTGGGCCAGGGGTCCTGCTCTCTTCCAGGGGTGCCCAGCCAATGGTCGGGAAGGAACCGCAGGAGCAGCAGCTCCCAGGCAGCTGGAGGCTCCCAGGCTGACTAAGGGGCGCTTGGTGGCATCTTCAGGGTGGGCGAGAAAGGCCCCACTGTTCTGCTGAGCTCTGGTGGCGCTGCCGGTCATGGGGAAGGCCCCGAAGGGAAGGGGCGGCCTCCAGCATCCCTCTCTGTCTTGCAGGTCAACGGCCTGGCGGCTCTCGGCAACTACGAAGGTGGCGATGGCTCCGGTGCTGCCGCGCAGTCTCTCTACGTAGCCAACCACGCCTATTAGCCCCGGGCAGGGTTCTCGGGCCCCGCTGACCGGGCCCCCGGCTCCTCCGCTGCTTTCCATCCTGGCCCCCCGTCGCTCCTGGCTTTTTCTAGCGTAGCCGTGACAGCAGCAAAGCGGGCAAGGGAGTGTCCGATGCCGAAGGGAAGGCTGGGCGATGCCCGAAGGAAGACAGGGCGCGAGCTCTGGTGGAGTCCTGCAACTGGGCGGGGGCAGGAGGAAAGTCCAGGCCTGCCTCGCAGGGTTGTTGTGAGCACGGCAAGCCCCAGCAAGAGTCAGGAGCTGATCGACTCCTCTAGAGACCTGCAGGCGAAAGGGGGGAGGACTATGCCACGGTGTGTGTGGGTGTGTGTGTGAGTGAATCTGTTGCAGGGCCTCCTGTGTAGCTCAAAGAGGAAAGCTGTTAGGGGGCCAGGAGATCCGGGGGGCGCTGCTGTGGCCATCTCTAACACTCCGCTCTCTGTCCCGCTCGCCTGCCTTTCATTTATGTGAGGACCCCCGTAACAAACCCGTTTGGCTCTGCACTTTGACGTGAATTGTGGCTTCGTGGCGCAGCACTGCCCCTCCTGCCCCCTCCCCACAGCAGCCTCACTGGTGGTGCCCTTGGCACGGACAGGCGGGGCCCACTGCCACTCCACGTGTGTGTGCTGCTCTCCGCACCTGATGTACCAGTAGCCTCATAACTAATAAACCGTAGAGGTTCCACCCCTCTTTTGCCTCTCGTGTTTCCTTCCTCTCGCTCTGCCTTTTATGGGGCCCCGACTCTACCCAGGGAGGGCACAGGGGCGGCGTGGCTGGGCCCAGGTGCTCTGGCGCGGGGACCCCTCCAAGCAACCTCGGCGGCTCTGTGTGTGAAAAGGAGACCCAGCTTGGGTGGACCCTTGGTGGGGTGTGAGTCTCCCAAGCCCTACGCAGCGTCTTGCCTGCAACGGGAGAGCCGGGGGGCCCTGAGGTGCGGGCTCCGTCACGGTTCACTGAGGGAGGCGCAACTGGCTGCCTTCGCCTACAACGCGAAGCCGCAATCCACGGGGCTCGCACCGTGGCTCAGCCGCAGACAGG